TGATATTCTCCCAGTCATCTTCTGGATCATCTCTCTAGCAAACTTGAGACGGGCCTTGACATGTACTGGCTTAAGCAGGGGGATACGTCTGGCACTGCAGGATTTGGCGGCGTAGTGTGTTACTGATGGAAGCCTTTGTTACTTTGGTCCCAGCTCTCTGCAGGTCATTCACTTTGTTGCCCCGTGTGGTTCTGGGATTTTTACTCACCGTTCTTGTGATCATTTTGACCCCACAGGGTGAGATCTTGCGTGGAGCCCCACATCAAGGGAGATTATCAGTGGTCTTGTATGTGTTCCACTTTCTAATAATTGATCCCACAGTTGATTTGGCTGTTTACCTATTGCAGATTCAGTCTTCCTAGCCTGGTGCAGGTCTATAATTTTTTTTCGGGAGTCCTTTGACAGCTCTCTAGTTTTGGCCATGGTGGAGGTTAAAGTGTGACTGTTTGAGGTTGTGGACAGGTGTCTTTTATACTGATAACGAGTTCAAACAAGTGCCATTAATACAGGTAATGAGTGGACGACAGAGGAACCTCTTACAGAAGAAGTTACAGGTCTGAGAGATCCAGAAATCTTGCTTTTTTGTAGCTGACCAAATACTTCTTTTCCACCATATTTTGCAAATAAATTCTTTAAAAATCAGACAATGTGATTTTCTGAATTTTTTTTTTCTTCTTTTGTCTCTCATAGTTGAGGTATATCTATGATGACAATTACAGGCCTCTCTCATCTTTTTAAGTGGGAGAACTTGCACAATTGGTGGCTGACTAAATACTTTTTTTCCCCACAATTTAGCACTTATTAAAAAGTACAAGTTTTAAATGAATGAATTATTTTCCAATAGGTTGCAGAAAAATTGTTTTTTCTTATATATGCACATATTTATGCACATACATACATACGTACGTACGTACGTACGTATGTATGTATGTGCATAAATATGTGCATATATAAGAAAAATATAAGTTCAGACTACATAATTTACACATTAAGCAGTACATAGTAAGCCCAACAGAATAAACCTTCATAGAGGCAAATAAGGTGATGAACAAAGACATCTGAAATGACGTACGTACGTATTTCAGATTATATTAGCATATAGCTTTTAATCCCTTTTTGGCATTTGGTTCAAGCTTTTACCAATGTTACCCTTCTGATTTGAAAATATCGATGGATTGTATGTCAGGTTAAGCCTATGCAGGCGTTTGTCAGCTTGGAATACCATTGAAATTGTCTTTTTATGAGTGTCTTTTTATGAGTGTCTTTTTATAGTAAGCCCAACAGAATAAACCTTCATAGAGGCAAATAAGGTGATGAACAAAGACATCTGAAATGACGTACGTACGTGAACAAAGACATCTGAAATGACCTACCTACCTACCTACCTACCTACCTACCTACCTACATACATACATACATACATACATACATACATACATACATACATACACGGCTAAAGCACGGCTAACAGTGATGCATAGTGTTACGTTTTGAACTAAATGCAACAACAACTGATTCTGGCATACACAGTCACTCCCACCCTTATGTAAATGTTTCAAAAACTCCCAGGCACTATTTGGGGGATGCAAACAAAGTTTTGACCCAAAGGAAGTGTTATCTGAAGGATAAATGGAGCTCAGTTTTAAGAAATTTGGGATGAAATCTCTTCTGCAAGCATGTAATTTAAAACTACAAGGCATTTTACAGATCAAAATCAAAGATAGATACTAGTATATTGTTCCTTTTTTGTTGTTGATTATGATTTTAAAAACATTATAGGGGCTTTTACACAAATTGTCCAGCTTAAATACTGTCATCTGAATGTATTGCAGCATATACTTTTTTTGTCTTCTTTCCTTCATGCATAGTATTTCTTTATATAGATATTGATGTATCTTTCTGCTTGTTAATATAAATCAGATGATTAGAATTCATCCATCTTAACCTATACTAAAATGAAAAAAGTACCTTCTGGCTGACTACTACTGCTTGGTACAGTGGCCAACAAGTGCAACCAAGTAGCCAATGGTGAAATGAGCTGCAAACACTTCTGAGACACAACACATGCAACAAAAAATGCTCTAATAATAGAAAATAGAAGCATATTCCTTCAATTAATAAAACAAATGCAAACAAAAATGGCTGTAACCACAAACAAAATCTTGCATTTACACAGTCATAATTAAAATGCTGCAGTAACAAAAAAAAGTCTCAAATAAAATGCTGCAATCACAAAAAAAAGGAAATATTTTAAGGCAGTACCCCCTCCATGATCAAACGGAACACTTTAAATTCTACAGACTCCCAAATATCCTCTCCTTCCTCCTGAGTTGTCACCGCCTTCTTCACTGTCTCTTCATCTTTGATATACTTAAATTATCAGAATATTTTCTCAATTCCAGTTATTTTTAATGGAAGCCCATTTCCACCACTCTGATAAAAAATAAGTAAATAAATAAATTTGATAACTGACTGAAATAATGAGATACCATCTCAAAATAATAAGACAGTATCGAGATCCAGGATAAAGAGGGCATCCCCCCGACCAGCAGAGGCTAAAAATTGCCATAACACGTGTTATGTTGATCCGCGATTCCCCATCAGATACGTTTGCCCCGTCGTCTCCTCGCCACTCTGCACTGCCTAGGGAAAGCACGCTTGTTCAGCGCAGAGGGAGCTAAAATGTGTTTCAGTTGTCACACTTTTTTCACGTTTTTTCAAATGTGCTCTCCTCACAAACACAGTTGCATCCTTCTAGATTCCAAAACCAAATATTTCCTACAAAGGTCGTTAGTGGTAGAAGGTGGTCTGACTTGATTGTTTGAAAAAATATATATATTTCTTTATTTCTTGTAAAAATAGAGTAATTGCTAAAAAAAAATCTCTTACAACTTAGTTAAAAACAAAAACGTACTTAATCTGACGTTTCAAGTTCAAAAAAAAAAATTTACAAAAACCTCCGGTCATCACACACACACCTATTTATACTTACATACACATGTATATTACTTAATGTGTTCATACTTTATTTTGAGATGCCATCTCAAAATAATGGGATAATTTTATTTTTTCTAAGTGGCAGAAAGAGGCTTCCATAGAAACAGGCTTCCATACTTTTCGTTATTGCAGCATTTCTCTCCCTTGCTCCTTTTTCCATTTTATTTGTGATTGCACCATTTTGTTTGTAATTGCAGCATTTTATTTATGATTGTAGTTTTTGTGTTTGTAGCATTTTATTTGTGATTGCGCCCCTTTTTGTTTGTATTTGTTTTCTTCATTGAAGGTTTTTTCTTCCATTTTCTTTTATTGCAGAGATTTTTTGCTTGCAGCGCTTTTCTGTTGCAATGTTCATTTTGTATTTTGTTGTTGTTGATGTTTTTTTACAAGTGTTTGCAGCTTGTTTCGGCTTTTGTTTGTACCTAACGGCCACAGTAGTTTGGCAATGAAACATTATAATTGTTTCTAAATTACTTGACCAGGCTGCCAGGTCTCGCTGTGGATCGCGCATGGCTCCTTTCATTCAAAACTGGACAGAGGCAAGTCTGTATCAAAATGTCTATCAATTCTTCATCCAGGTACGAGTCAAGCTTAAAGGCTACAGCGCTTCCTCTGCTTATGTAGCTCTATGTGAACCACAAATATAATCTAAAATTATATTTTAGATTATAATGTGCACTTCTAGAAGTGCACAGTTAGAGGGCAGAGAGAATGATATAACTTTGTGAACAAAGAATTATAAGTACTGTGTGTGTTGACATTTCATACACTGCCCAGCGAGTGGCTCTGTGTTAGTTTGATAAAAGTTTATACAAGTGTTTCTCGGTTAAATGGTGCATGAGTGGGTCAGTATTAGGCCTGTGGAGGAAAGGGGCGCCCACCTCTTAGTCATTCAGTATACAAGCTTTTCTTTTTTAATAATTTTTTTTTTCAGGCTACACGATGCATCAAACTGCATCATATCAAATGCTTTGTCAACTTATAGCCAGAGAACAGAAAAACTGGTCCCATGAAGCTCTGGCAACCAAAGCAGTCTCTGTGGCCCTCATTGAAAACTCAATAGACGTAAAATAAAAGAGCTTCCTAAGCCTCAGAAATTATATCTCCCCATTTGTTCCTGTGTATCGTGCAGAGACATACACAGTCCAGCAGATTTAGCTCATCGGGCAGAGCCGGTCCAAGGTTGTATGGGGCCTTGAGCAGAATCTGACTTAGGGGCTCCTTCTGCTGCTAAGAACATCAGCACAACTAAATACAACATAGAATTATTGAAATCTGGGAGTGGGGGTAGTTTAATTGGCCAAGTTTAAAAGCAATCAATTATAATTGTAATTTATTGAGATGAGATCAAAAACTAATGTTAGGTTTTTAGATAAATACAAATATAAATATTCAAGATTAAGAGACAATAAGGGTTGAGAAACCTTTGTTTGCCCCTGGGATCTGTGTTTCTTTTATCTTTGAAGGAAGCAATGAGTTTGTCACATTGGAGACGGATGGCAGGGTGACAGTTAGCCTGGTAAGAAGAATAGGTCATTTGCATACAACCCAGAGTCTCCGGAACTGGATCGGCAACAATCCCAGAGAGTGACGGGAACTGAACCAGAGAATCCCGGGAATGGAGCAGGATGCCTGCAGTCACTGTATATTCTGTATAATATGTGTAATTTGTATAATATGTACATAGCTCTTATATTTATACAAAACATTTTATTTTACTATTACTCTCTGTTTATACACCTTATCTTTGTACACTTGTTTATAAATATTTATATCCTGTATAGCACTTCTGGATAGATGCAAACTACATTTCATTGCTTTGTACTTGTGACAGTGCAATGACAATAAAGTTGAATTCTAATTCTATTCTATTCTAAGAAGAACATCGAGATTCTGAAAAGGTTGTCACTACCACCAAGGAGAGAGCTAAAACATGCAGGATGACGGCCCTGGAGGACCGACTTTGGGGACCTCTGATTTACATGAAGGTTGTGTCCCCTCACCTCATAGTAGCTTCTCACGGCATTGCAGAAAGCTTCATCAGCAATAATCTGAGTCTCTCCATTGAGGAATGTCAGGAAGCGCTCCTTCAATGTTTGCAGCTGCTGCTTGTTGACCTTACAGAGAAAACAGAGGAAGCAGGAGGTATGACATTAAAACAGTCAGACGTAACAAGGAGTAAGTGACTGGAAAAATGAGTTCCATGTAGACATGGGGAATACAACAACATTCTACAGAAAATGGTAAAAGGCATAACATTATTATTTTTATAATCAAATTGCTCTAAGCGGAAGGGATCTGAGCACCATCTTGTTTGGCCACAAACATAACCGAGAAAAGAACATAACCAACTGTCTCACAGATATTTTGAATTTTTGAATATTTTAAGTTATTTAAAATCATTTAGCGATGGTACAAACTTTCTGCGTTATTGGGTCAATGTTCGATCACACGACTGAAATGGCAAAAAAAATTTAAAACGGACTTTCGTTTCACAGTGTTCCTGCCTCGAAACAACACCAGGGACGTAAGCTATCGGAGCTAACAAAAAGGAGACGAATGTCCTGGGTATCAGCAGTGAGACGTCCTAATATAACCTTCTCAACCTTCTGGTGAGTGTCTAAATTCGCTTTGTTGGTGTTGTGTAATGATGTTTTGGTATGATTTTTTTCCAGGTTACTCATATTTAGTTTCGCTGAGTTCATTTAAGTGAGTCAACCTTGTTTAGGTCGGGCTTATATTTTTTACGTAGCATAGTCGAAGTTTTGTCAGTGAACATCGAGGTTATTCAACTATTGTGAAGTAAACCATTTAAGTTTTCTTGTGTTATAATTTACAGTATTTATACTGATTTGTGTTGTGGTATGTCCTCTTCAAGGCAAACTATCCTATGAAATGGATGAGCTCGATCCAGACTGGGTTCCAAAGCTGAATCTGGGTCACTGGGAGGTAAACGCCACAACATAAGACCGATATGCGCCTCAATTAAAGAGGCAATACAGCACGACTATGGTGGATCGACAAGTGAGGGAGCAAGTTACAGAAACACCAGAAGAGGTAAATAATGAAAACACAGTAGAGGAGGCTGTAGAAGAGGAGCGAGTTCAAGAGGGTGTGGAGGAAACCCCAGGAGAGGAGCTCAGCAAGGCAGCAAACTAAAGATGAACATGAAACAACAGCAAAAAGGCAGCCAATAGAATGTCAACAGAGAAGAGAAGAAATAAACCGCCTGTTACAAGAGAACAGGGAGCTCAGGTCAGAGCTGAATGAAAAAAACAGCTGGACACAGACTTTCTCAAGGATGACACTAAAAAAGTAAAATATTATACAGGACTTCCTTGCTTTGTCATTTTGTCATCATTGTTTAACACTGTTAGGCCTTTTCTGCCAGTATCAAAAAACGTTCATAGTTTCAAATGGCTTTACTCACATTGATTCGTCTAAGACTTGATCTACCTGTCCAGCATCTTTGCCATCTTTTTAATGTGTCACTGCTTTTGCAGACACCCTTGATGTGTTGTATGCACGCCTAGAGCCCACGGTAAGCTGGCCTGAGAGGCATTGCTTACAAGCCACAATGCCTCCTCAGTTTTTGGAGACATTTGGAAAATGTGTAGCAATTATTGTTGACTGTTTTGAATTAGGCACAGAAAGACCCTCAAATTTAAAAGCATGAGCACAATCCTTCTCCCAGTACAAAGGTTGACACACTATGAAATACCTTATTGGTGAAACACCTCATGGGTCGATTTCTTTTATTTCTAAGGGATGGTGCGGACGTGCATCGGACAAGCAGATTACAGAAAACTGTGGCCTTCTATCTAATTTATTACGTGGGAATGTTGTGTTAGCGGACAGAGGCTTTGATATTAAAGACGGTGTAGGAATGATGTGTGCTGAGGTTAAAATGCAGTCATTCACTAAAGGGAGATGCCAACTGGATGCTAAAGATGTTGAAGACACACAAGCTTTAGCTCACCTCAGACTTCACACTTATAAAATCTGACAGTTTGCAGTGAATTTCATGTAACAAACAAACCAGATGAAAGAGCCCATCTTTAAAAATTTGATGTGTAATTAAAACATTTCAGAGTGAACAAAAAAGGTGACAGGAAAATGTTATGAAATAAATCACACTTTAAATAAATACTTGTTGAATTTAACATATTTCAGGTAAGTGAACATGTAATGAAATAGATCCTGTCCTAGAATTTTATGTCAGTGAATATTACAGGTAACAAATGTGGCAACCATCTGAGGTAATAGATATTATACAAAAATTGCTATACAAAAATTAGTGCAACTATTAGTCTAACCGGAACAATGTACACACTCAACAGTGCCAGTGTTGCTTAGCATGACCCACAGTGTTAACGGAGGCTCAGAGAGTCTCACCGTGCATAACCTGCAAATACACAACTAAAATGGTGAATGAAAAGACAGAAACATTTTTAAAATGTATACATGTGAATCTACAGGGAGTTGAACTGTCAATCATTCCAATTGTCAATTATTATAGAAGAATAACCAAGACATTGTCATTTCAAAGAGGTTATCAGTTACAATGCTGAAGTTGGGTTCTGATTGTAGCTTCCAGGAGCTGAGCACTTACTTTTGTTCGAACCACAACGTAGTCGCAAGCTGGGGGGTAAAAAATGTCCAAATCATGTACCCAGCCATTCGTAAACTGGACATGTGCCTTCGTTGACTTATAATTCTTGAATCGATTTGCCGTGTAAGCACTGACACCACAGACCAGATATGAAAAGTTATCTGGGACTGTCAGATGAGGCAACTGTTCAGGGTCTCTGCTCCAACGTTTTATTTCAAACGGGTTGTGATGGACCGAGAAGGAGTCACAGGATATATTTAGAAAAATAGTGCTGTTTTTTTTTTTTATTTTAACCCAAAAATCATAAATGACAAAAGATAAACTGAGCTCATAAAAGAGGTCAAAGAAACAAAACTGGACTCAGTCAAAAATGTAAGCAAACTAGCTGCACAAAGAAACATAACTGACCTAACAAAGAAATGACACACAGGGGGTTATATACTGGCTGATCGGACCAAGACACAATAGGGGTAACTAAAAGAATACAAATAACACAAAACAAAGTTTGCTAAGTTTGGCTAAACTAAAGACCCAAAAATGAAAATCAAAAATAAACTTTAAATACTAATGTTTACTTAAATACAAAACTTATCTAAACAAAAAAACTACCATTTCCCTCTGCCAGCAGGAACTAGTGGTGTAATCTAATCAGCACTTAAGTTTGCTGAGGCCTGGCCCCATCTTTTGTCAACATCAGGGTGTGGTTGATATGTTCAATTTTAGCTATTTTTTCCATGTAGCGCTTTTTGGCTTCTGGGAGAAGCTTTTTGCAATATAGCCCTCATTCTTTCAAACAGCTTTTCAGCATTATGGAAGACGAAAAAGTGATAAAAACACCAGAAAATGTTTGTTTTGGTATGTGGCCAAACAACCTGGAGCCAAGTGACTAAAACATCACACGCAGTGATGTCAGCTCCAAAGCTCTATAGCTATATTCTAACTTTTCTTTTTGATTTTTCTTACTTATTACGTTTTCTACAGAAATTCACAATTATTCTTATTACTAAAAACATCTCGAAACATGTTCATTATTAATTCCACGGGCTGTCATCATTCCTGTGTTATTCAAGTATTTTTCTGACTTCCTGCCAGGTAGATGTTAGCTTCCCCCTCCCAGACTCTCACACTTAATAATATTAAGTATGAGGCCTAGATGCGCACACACAGTGGCGGATCTAAGCCTGTTTTAGGGGCGCTTTAGCAGCAGGAGTATTTATAGGTGAACACTGCGGGCGGCTGTGCTTTAGATGCATCAAGCACATTTTAGATGCGCAGCTTTAAGGATTAACCGGTAAATAAATTTTATATCTTCCTGGTCGCCACTAATGGGTGGCGTTACATACCTGGATGTTAAATCCGGTCGCTATTATTGCTGAACACAAAGCTATAAATGTTTGGGCAAGGTCAGAGTTCATCTATTAAACTGACTGTAGATGATTACATAGACCAGGTGTGTCCAAACTGCGGCCCGCAGACCAGTTTTTATTGGCCCGCAGCAAATTCTGAAAATATAATTGAATATGGCCCACGCAAAAAGCTTGAGCTCAACTCTGTTGCACTTCTCAGTTTCAACACTACAGAAACGAAATTAAGTGAAGAAAAACTTTTACCGTGAGTCACCAGACATGGCAGCACCGTAGAAACGCAAAATAGCAAGTGAGTTTAGATTTCAAACACAGTGGAAAGATGAGTATTTTTTAAAAGAAATCAACGGACAGTATGTCTTATTGATGTTGCTGTGATAAAAGAGGATATGAAACCAAACATCAGAGCTACACATTGTACAATGGTGCAGAGCGAACACAGAAAGTCAAGCAAATGGCAGCTAGCCTGCAAGCTCAACAGCAGGATTTTTGTGCTAATGAAATACAGAAAAACGCCACAACAGCAAGTTATGAAGTCGCTAAACTTATTGCCCAGCACAGCAAACCGTTTTCAGGAGGTGATTTCATCAAAGTCACAGAAATAATGTGCCCAGAAAAAGTGCCTTATTTCAACAATGTGAGCTTATCCAGAAATACAGTGTTGCAGAGAATTGAGGACCTGACAGCTAACTTGAAACTTCAGCAGAGAGACAAAGCTTGTGCTTTTGATTTTTACTCAATAGCGTGTGCAATGAGAGCACAGACACCACAGAAACAGCGCAACTGTTCATTTTTTTGCAATGATAATTTTCGCTGTACGGAGGAGCTGAGCCTAAAAGGCACAACGAAGGGAAACGATATTTTTGAAGCTGTCAGTTGAAAAGATGGGACTTAAATGGGATAATCTCTGTGAAGTAACAACAGATGGAGCTGTTGTTACAATGGGTGAGCACAAAGGAATGGCATCGTTGATGTGCGCAAAAGTAAAAGAGAGCGGAAGTGAGGCTGTTAGGATGCAATGTATAACCCACCAAGAAGCACAGTGTGCCAAGACTGTCCAGCTGGGCGATGTGATGAACTGTTATAAAAACTGTCCACATAATTTGAGCTAGAGGACTGTACCACAAAGATTTTCAGGCTTTCCTATCTGACGTGGATACTGAATACAGGGATGTACTCTCCCACTCTAATGTGCGCTGGTTCATCTGCAGTAGTTTTATTCGTTGAGATCAAAAACCAGTTTTTAAAAGAAAAGGGCCAACCTCTTCATGAACTAAGTGACCCTCTGTGGCTGGCAGACCTGGCATTTTTAGTTGATTTTACGCATCATCTGAATACACTGAACAAGAACCTACAAGGAAAAGAACAGCTGGTGCCACATGTATGCGCACATGAAAGCCTTCTGCGAAAAGCTCCGCCTTTTTGAGACACAACTACGAGGCTGTAATAAATGCTTTCAGGGGCACAAGTCACCTCTAGTGTGTTGCCTGACCCTTTGTTTATTTTTCTGTATTTGGCCCTCACTAAAAAAAGTTTGGACACCCCTGACATAGACCAAAAGCTGGAGTATAGACATTTTTTATAAGCATATTTGTGAGGATGCCTTTTTATTGTTGACTTGAATATAATTTCAAATTTTTGTACAACTTTTCTTCAGGTTAACTTAGAAAGTGAGCTATTATTGTTACAGGTTAAATTTCTAAACTACAGAGAAGTTATTGTTAGGAAAACTCAAATGTGGAAAAATTGGACTGATATTGATATGCAATAATAATACTGCTGTTTTATTAGATTTACCTATGTTTGTTTTATCCGATTACTCAATTAATCGCAAGAATAATCAATAGATTACTCGATTACTAAAATATTCATTTACAACAGCCCTAAATAGAATCACATTTTCCATCTGGTAGGTCAGGAATCTGCAACCTGAATCTCTGGAGATACAAGTGACTCTTTCACTGACTTAATATATGTATATACATCATCATTGCTATGCTTTTTGTGTAATTCATTTTTAAGTGTTCCCCATCGCACACAGACTACAAGTTCCCCTGTGGTAAAACTGGTCTAGAACCAGCCTCTAATGAAAACAGTAAAGAACATTATATAGATTTTTTAACCAGACTTGTATCATCAGCACCTTTATTCAGATGGCCTCTTGTAATGCACAATATTATGCTTAGCAATTTTTTGCAATGGGTAATGCATTACTTAATTGAGAATTATGTTTGTGATATTTATGAATAGAAATTGTGAACAGCATTGGCTTTATATATATATTTGATTATTTTGTTGTTATTCAGTACAAAATGTTGCAAGTGTGTAGAATATTTGGATAAATAATGGGTTAGTCTAATCCTGGTCCTTAGCCTTGTTAATTACTCTTGTTGCACACCTGCATGAAACGCTGCTTCTTCATGAGGAACATTTCCTCACCTTTTTACCGGGCAGCAGCAGCTACTCTGAACTCTTCCTCAAACTGTTCCTCGTCACAGCTCTCTCATCATCCTCTGACGATAATAAATCCCCTGAATAATACCTAATTCCCTCTCCTTCTCCGCTACTGAATCTGCTCCAGCGGTAAACATTTGTGTGGTAATTGACATATCGGTTAGTTTGACACCCCCAACCTATTCATTGTGCCCCTAAAAGCATTTACAAAATTAGGCCGCCCCTGAACCAAAACCAGCAAATCAGAGCCCGGAGGAGTTCAGTAGAGCATTAGCGTGTCACACTCAATTTACAACTTTCATGTCCTGTAAACAAACAAATAGCCTACTTGGAAGTCGTTTGGGCCCTATGACCTATGAAAATTATTTATGTATTTATTTAAAATTATGGTGATTAAACAACTTTTCCATAATAGTCACACTTTATGGAAAGGATCTGCAGCTGACTGATGGGAAGTGACGGAATACTGTGAGAATAAAGGCAGATAAGATCTCAGTGTTCCAGGGTTTTGACAGCGCCTCTGTTGCCAAGTATTATAAACTCCCTTGAGTGCATTTGTGTTTTTAATCGTTTTTGCATTATACACAACGTTCAAAAGCTAAAACCTACTTGCTGTTCAAGTCTCACCTTCTGCTGTCTTCGAGCCATGTCGGTGGGCTGCTTGGCGTTGAACGGATAGGAAATACACCGCAGAACAAATACATAGATCTGCAGCTTGGTTCTCTTCTCCTTTTCCTCCTTCTGAAGGCGCTCTCGCTCCTTCTTTTTCTCATTGTCACCAGCAGAGGGGCAGTCTTTTGCACCTTCACCGAGGGTTTTGGCAAACAGCAGCTGCTGACCGCCCGCCCGCCCGCTGTCTCCCTGCTTTTCTGCCTTTGAGAAAGCGGACGGTTTCCTCGGAGGCTCTCTGGTAACTTCTGTGTCGGACTCCCCGCCTGTGTCTTCGCTGGAGGACGGATCCAGCATGGTGACAAGTGTTAAAACTCAGACAGACTAATAACACGGCAAAGTCCTGTTTACGCTTTAGTTTGTTTTAGTTGACGTGGCGATACCGCCAGCATATCTGCTGTCAACGCCGTTTTCCTGCTGGAAAAGTGCTGCGTTTGAAGCCACGATCTGGGTTAAATGCTGTTTCTGATGGCGACGTCAAGGCAGGCGGAGTTTTCCGGACAAACGTCGCCCCGTGAGCTTCGTTTTTTCACTCACAGAAAATGTGTCGGAATGACAGCGCAAGTTCGCAGCCACGGGCTGCAACAGAGGCGTACAGGTGAGCAACCCGTGGTTGCGAGCAGAGATAGGTTGAAACAGAGCGAAGAGGTGTTACTCTGGATTTTTTTAAATGCACCATTTTTTCCCCCAAATTCATAGTTGTGTATCAAGGGTGTAACTATGTGTTCCAAGTTGGTGGAGATGAAAAAAAAAAGGGGGGGGGGGGGCGGGGTAGGGGGTGTTAGGGGAAGGCCCCAGCAATAGAGAATTCTAGCGCTAAGAATAAAGTCAAAACTTACATGTGAATGCCAAATAGTCCTATTCAGTACATTAGGATATACGTCCTGATCAGGCTTGTCAGATTTATAGTATTTCGAAAATAATCTTTTACGAGGTATTAAGCATACTACAAAATATAAATATGTTAAAACATACATAATCTAATTATGTTTTTCACTTGGTGATGGAATTGCTGACAAAATAAATTTTCAGTCATCTTCTAATTTATAAAATAAGCCTGTTATTTGCTCAATGCTTCCCTACAGTTGACAACTCTTTCACAATTCAATAATATTTTGTGAAGAATTATCACATATTTGCCTTTTATTGTCTGATTTTATCAAGTGCCAAAAACAACAACATGAGATTCTGTAACAATCAAAATGTTATTAAACATTTCAAAAGCAGAATAAGTAACTTCTGTGTAAACCAAATTAATCCTTGTCAGTAAAAACTTTGTATTTTTCAATTATGTGATTCTGACTCCACAGCTCTCCTTCAGTTGGTTGGCAGAACCTTTTGTCCTTCTGACTTACACATAGCAGTTGAGATATGATGTCTTTATAACAAATTATTAAAGATGCAAAACCTTTTCTGGATCTGATAGGAGCAGACCCAGAATAGACCCATTAATATTACTGGGTTTTATAAAATGTGGCTTAATGATGAGATGCTGATGTTTGGATAATATAAAATATATTTTCTCTCTGCTAATGAATTTATAGTTTGGTTTCTGTCAGTTCTAGAAACAAGAGAGAACAAAGCAAAATTTATAATTTTATAATTGCCTATAATTTAATTTTACTTTATAGGTGCCATTATTTAAAATTCATCCAACCTTGGTTCCTATTAGGGCTTGGCCTAATCCTCCCTGGGTTCCTAAGCAAAATGTGGTTTGGGGGCCCTGTAGTTATTGTGGACTGGCTGCAATAAACAGTCTGATTATCAGGTCATTCACACACCTGCTATAAAGTTATTGTATCTCTGGAAGTGCTGTTTACATTATAGACATGTATTATAGGATACATTTATTGGCCAACTGATTTATTGACCAGTTGATTTCTGGGTGCTGATTTTCTTAATTTTAGGGGATTGTGATCGGTTGATACATGTGAAGCCCATCTTATCACCTAATCGATTTGTCGTCGGCAAAGGTTTAAAAATCAGCCTCTGTCTTCTTCTACTCTACAGTAAGAGGTGTGAGTGACAGAACGGCCCACCAGGTCAGATCTGCACGTTTACAGTTAACAATATTCACACCACTGTTGCCAACTCAGTGACTTTCTTGCTATATTTAGCAACATTTCATACAAAAAAAAATTAATGTCAACCAAAATCAAAATCAGCAAGTCAGGCTTTGGATGTTTGGATGTGCTTTGCATATTGCACGGTTTTTCATGTTACCGCGAAGCGTGCGATACCTACCGCGACAACCAGAGGCCCCCAAAAGCATTTTTTTTTCTTTTTATCAATAAAATAATAATGTGATTATTATTTTATAATAATGCATTATCAAATATATATTATTTGAAAAACAAATCACTTCATGGTGAAATTGTGTGTTTTGATATTAAAATGACAGAAATTATTACAAATAAAAAAATCAGCTCCACTCAGGGGGCCCATTAGGTGCCCTGGGGCCCTAAGCGGCTGTTTAGTTTGTTTATGCCTTGAGCTGGCCCTGGCTCCTGTATACTTCATAAAATATTTCATCCTATTTGATGAGTGCTCTGAATATTGCCACGTTGTACTAACAAATGATGCAATTTGTCCTGGGAAAATTGTAGAAAAATTATTTTTTTCTCTGTCAGGTTAATGTCACACGCAAACTCGTTGCCATGGCAACCAATAAACAATAGCCTCGGGAGTGCAGTGCAAAGATTACGTTCAAGTGGGGGGACCGGCAAGATGGCGGCGTGAGTAGTCGATCTTTACAAGCTCTTCCAAGAATGTTTTAATAAGGAGCCTTTATAGCTAATTTAATACAGAGAAACACTTATTTTGAGACCTTTGCTAAATATTGTGTTCAAATAGACACTCCGAAGATTTCAAAGAATGGCTGCTAGTGGTAAACGTAAATCCGTGAGCATTGAAAGTACACCAACTAAAATGTCGGCTAAAAGTCACAAGTCGGCGGAAGACCAGGACCTAGCTGAAAACATTATAGCAGCTTTAAAGTCGACGATAAATGAGAGAGCGGACGGTCTTCAAGCCAGCATAAATGATCTAAAAGATTCGGTGGATTATATTCATGCTGAAATGAAAGAAATGCAAGAAAAGATGACTGAAACCGTCATGTAGCCGGGGCATTATGTCCATTATGCACTCTTCCGGTTGCCCATATAAGGAAGACGCTGTTTTAGCGCTGCTGATTCATTACGGAGGCAAGCATCGGTATTTACATTTAAAAGCGGGTAGATCGCTGAGAGGGTGAGAGTCCAGGCTGATTTCTCTGCAGGTATGGTTAACATGAAGTGTGCGCTGGGTTGAGAATTATTTCTGATGGCTCCATTTTATTGCAGGAAACCTCTTGGAGAGGATATACAGAGTTCTGCTAGCTTTTAGCGAAGGTAAAGGCAGTTCATTATTATGTGGTTATTTAAAATATCTGTTTAATTTTATTCTCTGTTGTGTGCAGGTTGGCCTGCTACTGTTTTAGTTTGTTTTGGTTATTTATGGATTAAACTTTTTATTCTTTTGGGAGTTTTTATTGTTCAGCCCTCCAGGCTCGCTTGTAGATAACCTGTGCTGTCCCTGGTTCCAAGCTGTTTATCTAGATTGAGGAGACTAGTGGAAGGGGAGTTTCTTGTTTTGTGTTATTCACCAGGAGTTTTTCTTTTGTTGTGCGAGTGTGTTTTTGTTTGGGAACACCTAGGTGTATTCAGTTACATTTGTTTTTTTAATTATTATTTCTCCCCCAAGCAGTCTGATTTTATTTAATCAAAGTAACTGGTCATCAGCGGTAAGGTTTCCAGGGCCAGCATAGATTTAGGATTTTAAAGTGGTTGATATTGTACAATAAAAATGAATTGACTATTTATGCCTAGCATTATTGTGATTAAATAAACTGTGGTTAATTTGCATCAGTGCCTCTGATAATTTTCTTTACAAACTTATGTGTGATCTGGTAAAAAGACAACACCAGAGGATTTAAGGTTCTTCACACATAACTAGGGTGGTAACCGAGGTCACAATCAGAAGAGTGGAGAACTCAGAAAAAGGGTGCTGCAGGTGGAAAACAAGATGCTCGAGCTTTCACGTTATAAAAGAAGATGGAACTTGCGTCTTTCAGGATTAACTGAATAAGAAAGGGAAGATGTTCGCAGAAAGGTTATTTCCATTTGCCAGAAGACAGCGCCAGAATGCACAGAAAAACTGCCAGACGTCATCGACAGCGTACATCGGCTGGGTCGTGTTGAAATAGAATTTTAAAGTAGCACAATAGTACATAAGTTAACTTTTATGTTAAGATAAACTTAGATACAGATCCAAACTGGGACAGCTGGTGACTCTCAGAACTTACAGAAATTCCTAATCAGAAAGCAGTCTTAGACTCCTTGGATCTCTTTAGATAGGGAGCCTGTCTGCCAGGCAATTAACAAATTCCTGAGCATGGTTCAAAAGTTCACTAGGATCTTAAAACTTTTTATAAATAATTTTTATATTAGAATTAACTATATTTCTTTAAGCATGTTTTTAATTAGTTACTTATTAGATCCAAACTTATAGTCATTATTTAGCATTGCATTTTGTGCAAGCTTGGTTAAAAATACAAACTACTTTCTTGTGGAAACATTTTGAGGCAGAGATAACATTGCAGCTGCAATCATATATCAAACTGGACAGCGGCTGGTACGAGAAGAGCTGGGCCGTATATCTGCCTTTGGGGCTCTTTAGCAGGAGGTAATAAAATTAACATTAAGACAGCCCACACAAAGGAAAAGAACACACCTCCTAATGCATATATTTAAATGAGGAGAATACGCATTCTATAAATGATTTGTTTTACAGCAGAAGTTCGAATCGCTTGGTGCTGAGTGAGTGGTTCCCAAAAATGCATTTTTGAATCAGGTAATAAATATTCTGTTTTGTCATTGGGTGTTGACTTCATGATAATCTGGGTGTAAATGGTGGTCTGTTATTCTGTATGTATTTGTATTCACTTTTGGATAAAACTCTGGATATCTGAAATCTGACGTATGATTGTTTTTTCTCTCGGCACACTTACACAGACACAAGAATTCGGGACAAAGAATTAATTAACGAGCTAAATCAAGTTATTTCTCTTTTTTAATTCTTAACAGTCGCAATAAAAGCACAGGGCGTCCTCGAGAAGTGATGATCCAGTTCTCCATGAGACACTACAGGGATACGGTATGGAAGGCGGCTAAGCAGTCACCTTTCCTGAAGTCAAGCAACCTGCGCTTTAAGGAGGACCTCTCTCCAGAGGACCGTCAGGGAAGAAACATGCTGTGGCCACTGGTGAAAAAAGCATGCGAAGAAGGGAAAACAGCCTTCTACATTGGCCCAAAGCCTTCGTCATTGACAGGGATGGAAAAAGAAAAGAACTTGTTCCTGATAATGTCTAGAAGACATTTTGAAACAAAGAGCTAACAGTTAAGTAAAGACACTAAAATATTATAAAGGCTCCATTCATTATTTAATTTTTTGGACGGGAGAATTTGTAAGATTTCCTGCAACTTAATTTTCAGGGTTAGTAGCTACAACTCTTAGTAGCACTTTTATGTTTAAAATTATTTCACTTAATGCTCGAGGGTTAAGAAACAATACTAAAAGAAAGGCAACTTTTCTATATCTTAAAAATTTTAAAGCTGATTTCTGTTTTATTCAAGAAACTCATTCCACTGCAAATGATACCAAATTCTGGAAAAGTCAATGGGGGGACGAATTATGGCTGGCACATGGCACTACTCAATCAGCAGGAGTGGCAATATTACGAAACAACTTCAATGGAGATGTTTTATGCTCACTCTTAGATACATATGGACATTTTGTTTTATTAGTTGTATCAATAAATGAAGAAATTTTTTTTGTTAGGTTCTATCTATGGGTATAATACCAAAGCAGAAAATATGCAACTTTATGATAGATTAAGTAACGGGGTGAATTATCTATGTGACAAGTATCATAATATGAATATTATTATTGGTGGGGACTTCAATTCAACTCTTGATGATTCATTAGACAGATTTCCTCCAAAGGCTAATATAAATACAAACACAGCTCTTAAAGACTTTATATCAACCTTTGGCCTGATTGATGTATGGAGACAAAAAAATAGCTCAAAAATTGAATTTACATGGCAAAACAAGTCGGGCTCCTTTCAATCAAGAATTGACTTTTGGTTGATATCTGATTTAATAACAGATGAAATTACGTCGGATATTCTACCAGCTCCTTTATCAGATCACAAGCTTATTTTGATTGAAAAAACAAAATTAAATAAGTACGGAAAAATAAAATTACAGCTTACTGGAAACTCAATTCGTCACTGTTAGAAGATAAAACAGTAGAAGAAAATATTAAACAAACAATTATTAATTATTAATACAGCTTGTAGCCAGAAGGAATTTAGTAAAAACTGGGAACTCCTCACATATGAACTTCGGAAAATTTTTATGAAAACTGGAGCTGAATTTGCTAAAAAAAAAGAGGAAAATAGAATCAGAAATAATAAAAGAAATTATCTCTTTAAATAATGTTCTGCCAGAAAATATATTTGAAGAACAAAAAAATAGATTAAACCATTTACAGTTGAACCTGGACAATATTTACATATCTAAAGCTAAAGGAGCCTACGTCAGGTCGAGACAGAAATGGTTAGAAGAAGGAGAAAAAAACTCTTCTTATTTTTTTAGGTTAGAAAAACAGCACCAAAAGTCTAACAGTATTATGAAACTTCAAATTAATAAAAGTATAACTGAAGATCCTGTTCAAATCTCTTCTTATTGTGAAACTTTTTTCAAAGAGTTGTATCAGTCACGGTGTTCTGATGAAACTATTACACAATTTATTAACGCGATGAATAATATGCATCAAATCAGTAAAATTAATAAAGACCATTGTGATTCTTTGATCACTCTTGAAGATATTCAAAAGTCTATCAATAAATTAAAATTAAATAAATCTCCAGGACAGATGGTCTCAATGCAGAATTCTATAAAAGTTTTCAGAGCAATTGTCCCATTTTTACTTCAAGTTTATCTTGAAAGTTTGGACTCTGGATCACTTCCACCTACAATGACCCAAGGTCTAATTACACTGATTCCTAAACCACAAAAAGACAAGCTTCTTCTAGATAATTGGCGACCAATTACATTACTACAAAATGATTATAAAATTATTGCAGGTTGCATTGCTACAAAAATTAAGAATACTCTTGAAGTGATTGATGAAACTCAATCTGGATTCATTCCGGGTAGACATATAACTAACAATATTAGACTTATATTGGATTTGCTAGATTATTCAGATTTAATAGAGGACGACGGTCTCATATTATTTCTGGATTTTTTTAAAGCCTTTGACACAGTGGAGCATACATTTTTGTTTAAGGCATTAGAGGTATTTGGATACGGACAAATCTTCATTAAAAGCTGTCAAATGTTATATAGGAATTGCAATGCGTCTATAAAATTGTCACATGGCTGCTCTAAAAGATTTTATTTAAAAAGAGGTCTCAGGCAAGGATGTCCAGTATCTCCATACTTATTATTCTTGCCATGCAAATTCTTTCTATAAAAATCAAAAAAAATAACAGGGCTTAATGTTGCAAACAAAAATATTGTAATCTCTCAACTTGCTGATGACACTGCACTTTTCTTAAAGAATAAGTGCGAAATAAAAAAATCTATTGAAATTATCAACACATTTTCCGAAGCTTCCGGTTTAACTCTAAATCTAAATAAATGTGAAATACTTTCCATTAAATCTCAATTAAAAGGCACATTTTTCAACATTCCTATAAAAGATAAAGTTAAGTATCTTGGAATCACAATAATTAAAGATCAAAATATAAGATCAACAGAAAACTTTTACCCTATCATTAAATTGGTTGAACAAAGATTTAATCTGTGGCTACAGCGTGATCTCTCTCTCTTAGGACGTTCATTATTGGTCAAAGCTGAAGGAATATCTAGACTCGTTTACCCAGCCCTTGCTCTTGACGTTCCAAAACAAATCATTACTAACATTAATAAAATAAATTTTAACTTTATATGGAAAAAGAAATGCCATCTCATTAAGAAAAGTAGTTTAATGAATAAAGTTGAAAAAGGTGGAATTGAAGCCCTTGACTTCATATCTTTAAATAATTCATTCAAAATTAAATATTTAAAAAAATCTTCTGAAAAACCCAAATTCTATATGGAATGCTATTCCAATTTACAACTTTAATAAAATTGGAGGTTCACCTTTTCTTCTTAGATGCAATTACAGTATTCCCAAAATACCCTTAAAATTATCTACATTTCATAAACAAATGCTGTTAAGCTGGACACTTTTGTACAAACACAATTTCTCTCCTCATAAATATTATATATGGAATAATGAAGACATTAAATACAAAAATAAGACAATATTCTATAAAAATGGTTTGATAAGGGAATATTTTTTGTAAGCCAGTTACTAAATCCAGATGGCCATTTATTGTCTTATTCTGACTTTATGTTACTTTTCCAATTTCCTGTTACTCCTAAGGAATATGCAGTGGTATTTGACGCAATCCCTAGTGGGTCATTAAAGCTTTTATCATCTTTACCTCCAGGTAAAACTAACTCTATACCAAATTTTGATCCAAATTCAATTTATATTGATTATGATTGTCCTTTTATAAGTAAGAAAGCAAACAACAAAATGTTAAGAAATATTCTATTAAGAGATATGGTTTTTTCACCAGCTTCTGCATTTTATTGGTCCAGAATTTTCGAAAATATAAATTGGAAATGGACTTGGTTGCTCCCTAAAAAATACTTAATAAATAATAAAATAAAAGAAATTTCTTATAAAATAATTCATACTGTGTATCCCAGTAAAACATTTTTGATAAAAAGATATAAATGGGATTTGGATCCTACAGTTAGGGCCAGAAATATTTGGACAGTGACACAGGTTTTGTTATTTTAGCTGTTGACAAAAATATGTTCAGAAATACAATTTATATATAATATGGGCTGAAAGTGCACACTTAGCTGCAATATGAGAGTTTCCACATCCAAATCGGAGAAAGGGTTTAGGAATCATAGCTCTGTAATGCAGAGCCTCCTCTTTTTCAAGGGACCAAAAGTAATTGGACAATGGACTCCAAAGGCTGCAAGTAACTCAAAAGGCCTTTCCCTCGTTAACCTGTAATCAAGTAAGTAGTTAAAAGGTCTGGGGTTGTTTCCAGGTGTGTGGTTTTGCATTTGGAAGCTGTTGCTGTGACCAGACAACATGCAGTCAAAGGAGCTCTCAATTGAGGTGAAGCAGAACATCCTGAGGCTGAAAAAAAGGAAAAAATCCATCAGAGAGATAGCAGACATGCTTGGAGTAGCAAAATCAACAGTCTGGTACATTCTGAGGAAAAAGGAATTGACTGGTGAGCTTGGGAACTCAAAAAGGCCTGGGCGTCCACGGAAGACAACAGTGGTGGATGATCGCCGCATACTTTCTTTGGTGAAGAAGGACCCGTTCACAACATCAACTGAGGTCCAGAACACTCTCAGAGAAGTAGGTGTATCTGTCTCTAAGTCAACAGTAAAGAGAAGACGCCATGAAAGCAAATACAAAGGGTTCACATGTAGATGCAAACCATTCAATTCCAAAAATAGACAGGCCAGAGTTAAATTTGCCCAAAAACACCTCAAGAAGCCAGCCCAGTTCTGGAAAAGTATTCTATGGACAGATGAGACAAAGATCAACCTGTACCAGAATGATGGGAAGAAAAAAGTTTGGAGAAGAAAGGGAACGGCACATGATCCAAGGCACACCACATCCTCTGTAAAACATGGTGGAGGCAACGTGATGGCATGGGCATGCATGGCTTTCAATGGCACTGGGTCACTTGTGTTTATTGATGACATAACAGCAGACAAGAGTAGCCGGATGAATTCTGAAGTGTACCGGGATATACTGTCAGCCCAGATTCAGCTAAATGCTGCAAAGTTGATCGGACGGCGCTTCACAGTACAGATGGATAATGACCCCAAGCATACAGCCAAAGCTACCCAGGAGTTCATGAGAGCAAAAAGGTGGAATATTCTGCAATGGCCAAGTCAATCACCAGATCTTAACCCAATTGAGCATGCATTTCACTTGCTCAAATTCAGACTTCAGACGGAAAGACCCACTAACAAGCAAGACCTGAAGGCTGCGGCTGTAAAGGCCTAGCAAAGCATTAAGAAGGAGGAAACCCAGCGTTTGGTGATGTCCATGGGTTCCAGACTTAAGGCAGTGATTGCCTCCAAAGGATTCGCAACAAAATATTGAGAAAAAACTTTTTTGTTTGGGTGATGTTTATATGTCCAATTACTTTTGAGCTCCTAAAATGTGGATTATTTTTGTTCAACCCTTTAAATTAAACGTTACAATCTGCACTTGAATTCTGTTGTAGAGGT